GCAATGCTGGCTGTGGAATTCTGGGAGTTGAAGTCCACATGCCTTAAAATTGTCAAGGTTGAGAAACACTGCGGATCAGGAAAGCTATGGCAAATCTAGACAGCGTACTAAAAAGCAGAGACGTCACCCTGCCAACAAAAGTGCGTATAGTCGAGGCCATGGTTTTCCCAGTTGCAATGTATGGCTGTGAAAGTTGGACCGTAAGAAAGGCTGAGTGCCAAAGAATTGAGGCCTTTGAACTAGGGTGCTGGAGAAGACTCCTGCGAGTCCCTTGGACTGCAAGGCGATCAAACCGGTCAGTCCTAAAGGAGATCAACCCTGACTGCTCTTTAGAAGGCCAGATCCTGAGATTGAAACTCAAATACTTTGGCCACCTAATGAGAAGGAAGGACTCACTGGAGAAGAGCCTGATGCTGGGAAAGATTGAGGGCAATAGAAGAAGGGGACAACAGAGAATGAGGTGGCTGGATGGAGTCACTGAAGCTGTAGGCGTGAGCTTAAATGGACTCCAGAAGATGGTAGAGGACAGGAAGGCCTGGAGGAACGTTGTCCATGGGGTCGCGATGGGTCGGACACGACTTCGCAACTAACAACAACAACAATCCCTCCATCCTGGTCCCCAGTCACACCGGTGGGAGAAGTTGGCAGTCTTAAAACTATTGCCTATGACAGGTCTCCCTTTGAAGAAAGCCTCCTTGGATATTTCCTGTAGTCATCGATTTGCCATCTCACATTTTGATCCCAATATATGCATAATATACAGGTAATCCTCGACTTACGACAGTTCGTTTAGTGACCGTTCAAAGTTACAACAGCACTGAAAAATGTGACACTTTTTCATCGTTATGACTGCCGTGGCATCCTGTGCTCACAGGATCAAAATTCAGATGTTTGGCATCGGACTCATATTTATGACCATTGCAGTGTCCTGGGATCATGTGATCACCTTTTGCGACCTTCTGACAAGCAAAGTCAATGGGCCAGTCAGATTCATTTAACAACCATGTTACTAATGGAACAACTGTGGTGACTCACTTCACAACTGTGGCAAGGAAGGTCGTAAAATGGGACAAAATTCACTTAACAAATCTCTCACTTAACAGAAATTTTGGGCTCAATTTGGGTCGTAAGTTGAGGACTACCTGTAATCCTTATTTTAAAAAGGATGCTTGACATCCTTTCCCCCCCCCCCCCAAAATCGGTTTTTCAGATTTTTTTAACATCTCCCTTTCTCAGTGGTGGAGAGGAATTTCAATTTCAATTGAAAAAATGGAGTGAGGAGTTAACATTATCTTCTATAAGTGTATGCACATTCTCTCAACTCACCATCCCAATCTGGATAGCTGCCTTATCTTTTGTGTTAAGAAAACAGTAAGATTAACATACAAGGTAACCTGGATCTTCAGAAATAGATGCTGAAGAAAATTATTTAAATTCTTTTAGATACTTATTTTGTTCTTTGTACAATTGCAGATTTCATTAAGAAAAAAGGTGGACTGTTTCCTTTCTACCTTTTTAAGGGCTACTAGTTAAATGTTTGCAATTTGTGCAACCTTCGCTTCGTGGCGAAGGTTGTGGAGAGTGTGGTTGCATGGCAGCTCCCCTGACACCTGGAGGAAACGGTCTATCTAGACCCGCTCCAGTCGGGCTTCAGGCCGGGATACAGCACGGAAACGGCATTGGTCACATTGGTAAATGATCTCTGGAGGGCCCGGGACAGGGGTTGTTCCTCTGTCCTAGTTCTTTTG